GCTGCCCATCAATGCAACTGCACGTGCATGATCACGTTCAGTTGCTTCTTGGTCATCAGCTTGTTGTTCCACTTCGTGACATCGCCTGCTTCTTCAAAATCATCTTACCTAAGGCAGTGCTGCTAGAAATTGCCATTTCAGTGTTGATTTGAAAAGTTTTTTTGTTTGAAATTGTTTAGGGTCCCAAACTATTGTTTTATGTTCATGAATTTTGAAAATTGAAATTTTTAAATAGCGTCGGATGTTGACATAGTCCATAGCAAAGTTGTAGTTCTTAATACAATCCAGAACTTTGTAGTTGAAAAGTTTTTGGTTTGAAGTTATTTATAGTCCCAAATTACAAGGTTTCAGCTTTTTATTAAGTTCATAGTTTTCAAAATTCAAAATTTAGAATTTCTAAATGGCCTTGAATATTGTTCATATAGTTAGCACCAAAGATTTAGTGGCCAACCTAATCTACATGTTTGTTGTTGATAAATTTTTGATTTGATGTTTTTTATTGTCTCAAATATTTGTATTATATTCACGTATTTTAAAATTCAATTTTTTGAATTTTTCAAAGAATCTTGGATGGAGACACTTCCTATACAAAAGCCATATTGCTTGGCAACATTTCAAACTTTATAGCTGAACTTTTTCATCTGGGTTTATTTAGTATCTAGAATTTTTAATACAAGATTACAAAATATTTGTAAAAAAGATAGAATCCTGTATATGCTCACAAGTGAGTGTGTCTAGTGGTAAGGAGTTGTTATTGCTGAGTTGTAGGCCATGGGTTTGAGTTCTAAGATTTTTTTTTTGTCTTTTGAGTTTTCTAGAAACCGTTAATCCATTTTCGGAGGCATGCATCTTAAGGTGTTCACCCCTGAAAACCGATTTTCAAAGGCGGGCATGCCGACCACTGCCTCTGTAAATGCTCATTTACAGTGACCTTTGGTTAGAGGCGGACGGCTTGCCTGCCTCTTAAAATAAAAAAATATTGCTCGCCTCTGAATTTTTTTTGATACTAGTGTATTACTTGCTAGACGAATAGCTTTAGGTGGTGAGATTTTGGGTCCATTTATGATATTTTTGTGTGGTTAATGTTGTAAAATTTCAGACATAATTGACGTTCTTACAACATATTTAAATAAAATAATTTTTTCTAGAACTCAGAGAAATGCCCTATATAAATGTGATACAAAAGCTGTTCGCTTGTATAAAAGAAATACAGTTACTCAGGCTCATATCAACATTAAACTTGTCAAGCATACGAAGGCATATAAAAAACATACACACAGTTATTTATTATGAATATATTATTGATTAAAAATGTTAAAATAAAAATGAATCGTTGGGGGTAGACCTTCGATGCACCCAAAATTAGTTTAGGGTGGTTTCCATGTATATACACGAATATAGTGTCCTTATATATTTAATATGCCGAGGTGGCAACATTGAAGCATGGAGAGATAGTTTTGGAGGTTGTTTGCAAAGAGGTATGCATATATAAAACTTTCATAACAATTAATGTACTACAAAATGGTATAAAGACCCCTGAATACATAATATCATTGGACCACCATGAACAGTCTAGAGTCCATTGTGGCTACTCTAAATTGCCAGGTCAGTGGGTCGACCGAATAATGCCAACAGGCTAGCTAATTAGGTAGAATAACCTTACCTGAAACAAAGACTAATGCAGCAGGCGAATCCATCGTGGAATCATACACCCGGCCTTGTGATGCCTAGAGCTCATCCTGAATCAAGGCCCGATGCCGCCCATGTGGCACTCTCTAGCTGAGCTTGTCGTGTCGATCAGGCCGATGCTTGTGGCCTGATCCGCTTGGTCACGCCATTGCTGATGTTGTTTTCCTTCCTTACTTCCCCTCCATACATTTTTTTCCTTCTAGAACAAAATGTATGCCTGATACCAAACACAGGCCCGGCCCAGGGAAAATGGATCTGAGCGAGGCTCAGCCCAAAGGAGACAGAGGATGCATCATGTGTGTAGTGTGCGCGCTGAAGCTATAGGCATGATGTATTTGCCACCTCTCGTAGTGTGTGACTAGTTTTTTTAACGATTTTTTAGGTGTGACTTACTCATATGGCAAATCATCACAGTTTTGTGTTTCGGGTATGACTCATGCATCATATTTCTTCAACTTAGACTACCTTAAATACCATGCATCATCTCATCTCTCTTCCATCCTCAGTGCAGTATATGCTTGGCAGTGTATACAGATTATCGGTTATATGAGATATTAGAGAAAAACAAATCATGCCAGCAGCATTAAATTTTCATTTGTTGGGCGTTAATGTTTTGTCTGGATTCTCTCAGCGAATTATTAGCTGTATTAGCTAAAAGTAACTCTGTAACAACTAATTCTTAGCTAGGTTTAGATATGATACTGTAGACAAAGGATTTTACTTATTTTTTAGCAGCTACCTGTTAATTCTAAGCCATCCAGGCCTGGTAGTGTTTTGACATTGTTAGGATCTTGTGCTTAGAGATTTTAATGAGGAAACTAATTATTGTTGTGTTCCGCTAACAGCCAGGCCAACTTGCTTGGTCGATCGCGATCGTGTCCTTTCCCGGCCGAGCACCACCACATGCATGCCGCCGTAGCTCTAGCGACGACGCCCCTCTTCCGGCCGTAGCTCCTGGCCGGGCCTCCCCAAGCCTTAGCCACCTGCCACTGCCTGCCTGCCGCTGCATGCATGCTAGCTGTTGCTGTTGCCACCACTACGGCAAGCAGCGGCATGGGAATGGGAGTGGGCAGATTTAGCTTTGCTATCATGGAACGCAGTTTTTTTTTCACTTAGGAAAGAAGGAAAAAACTGGGTCCGCCACGTGACAACCAAGTCATTGTACGTGCCTTAGCTCTGTCCCAACAGCTAACTACCCATAGCAACTATAGCCAGAGAGCCTTAAAAATAGTTGTCGAACAAATAAAAATTCATAACTTCTTGAATGATCTCCGACAGAAGAAAAACTTTATATCAAATTGTATAGCTCGATGAGATCTAAAACTTTATGTAGTTGACAATTTTTTTATTTGAGACTATTTAGGAGTCTAAATATATATTTTAAGTTCTCGGATTTCAAATTTATTTTTTCAAAATTTTCAAACGACCTCCAATGCAAAATATCCTCTATACCAAAGTTGTAGTGCTTTGAGAAGATTTAAAAAACTTTGTAGTTGAAAATATTTTCATTTGAGATCGTTTATGTGACATAATATTCAATACAATAACCATATATCAATACAAAAGGATAGTATTTGCTCACAAGTTATTATGTGGTGTGGTGGTATGAGAGGCATGCGCAAAAAATCTAAAATTTAACATTGCGATGCTGCAGCTAAGCCTTTTGTGATTAAAATATCATAAACTGTGCTCTTAAATAATAGTAAACTTTCTTTAGAAATGTTTTGCTGAACTGTATTTTTTTAACCATCTCTAGAAATTGATCTCCAGGAGTGGTTGACTGAATAAAATCATCCCCAAAAATCAATTTATTAAGTGTTGTTGACTAAATCAACCATACCTAGAAATAGTTGTCGCGTAAATAAATTTTTAACCTTTTCAAATGAATTCCTATACACAAAATCCCCAACCATGAATCACCGAGGTGTAGCCTTTAGGTGTCCAGCTTTCGTGGCGAAGACGCACAAAATCACCAATCATGGATCATCGAGGTGTAGGTGTCGAGCTTTCGTGGCCAAGACCATTGTTTCTGACTCTATCCATACCAAAATTTTCACCAATGATCACCATTTTGACTGCATGTGATGTTATTTCGCAATCAAATCATGACACTGAAAGGGGAGAAATAAATATCCAACAAACTAGGACTCTGTTTGGATGAACTAGGAGTATAGATGGCCAACGGCCCAAAGGGGGTTGGGCCGGCACGGCACGTCGTGCCTCCTGGGCCGTGCCTCTCTGGATCACAACCCTATGGGCCGTTTTTCGGGTTGGGCCAGCCCGAGAAGCACGGCACTCCCAGCAGGCCGGGCCAGCCCGTAGCTCGAGCAAGTGGCCGACGGGGGTAGAGAGGAGTTGATGCGGCGTCTGGTGAGGTGAGGATGTGGGCAATGGTGAGACGGCGGGGGCTGAGGAAGTGATGCCGCGGGCGAGGTCGCTGGCACAAGGCCGAGGACGCAATGCCGCCCGCCTGTAGGGGCGCGAACGGGCATCAGGCGGCGGAGCTCGGGTCTGGGAGCGGTGACCGCCGGCGGCACTTAGGATCTTGGGGGCTGGAGTGCTCCGTCTCTCGTTGCCAGGATCTCGGGAGTCGGGAACGGGATCTCGAGGGTCGGGACTCGGGCGGGCGAAGTAGCAGGTGGGAGGCGGAGGGGTCGCGATTCGCAACTCGCTAGGAGTCGCGCGCCTACGTGAGGCCATGAGGCAAGCAGGTAGGGGCTGTGGGATTGGGAAATTTGGGATTAGGGTTAGGAGACAATATATATATATATATATATATGCTAGCAATATGAGGTAGCGGGCCTTTGTCGGGCCGGTTGGAAAAATCAGGCCGTGCCATGTCGCCCGACGTGCCTAGACAGCGGCCCAAGCATGGCCCTGCGCATCGGGCCGGGCTAGCCCGGGCCTGGCTGCCATGGACCGTGCCGTGCTTGGGGCGGGCCAAAAAAGCGGGCTTCGTGCCGGGCTGCATGGCCATCTACTACTAGGTGTCTAGAACTAGTGATTAGTTAGGACTAGTGATTAACTAGCTAGTAGTTAGCTGACTAGTGATTAGTTCTCCTGTTTGATCCTTGGGCTAATAATCACTAGTTCTAACTAATCGTTAGTCCTAATTCATCCAAACAGGACCAAACAAGTAGGCAAAAAAAACTCATGCAGAACTTGACAACCTAGATATTTTTGTAGTAGCTATCCATATTTCATATTGTCGTACGTGCATGAGTGCTGGGTATTTTAAGAACAAGCATTTGCTGCACTGCACACAACACTCGTCAATCGACCAGGAAGCAGGGAGAACTAACCATCTATCCATGGCGGCTCTTCACTTGGTGCACGTAGTGTACCAGTTCATGCTGGCGGCCGCTACGCCTCTAGCAGAACGGCCACTTTGGTTCGTCGTCGTGCCTCTAATGCTAGTGCTATTGCCTGTCATCTGCCGACGCCTCCACCACCGTCCCAACGCCGGTGCCGACGAGAGGAAGCAGTTGAAGCCTCTCCTGCCGTCGCCTCCGGGGAGGCTGCCGGTCATCGGCCACCTGCACCTCATCGGCGACCTCCCACACGTCTCCCTCCGTGACCTCGCCACCAAACATGACCGTGGTGGCGGCCTCATGCTCCTCCAACTCGGCACCGTCCCCAATCTCGTCGTCTCCTCCCCGCACGCGGCGCAGGCGGTCCTCCGGACGCACGACCACGTCTTCGCCTCGCGGCCGACGCCCAAGGTCTTGCACAACTTTCTGTACGGGTCGTCGACCATCGCCTTTGGACCCTACGGTGAGCACTGGCGTAAGGTTAGGAAGCTTGTCACCACGCGCCTCTTCACCGTCAAGAAGGTGAACTCGTTTCACCATGCCCGCCAAGAGGAGGTAGCTTATTATCATTATTATATGTATAGTAGGGTATGAATGAGAATGCATGAATTGCTATGAAATTAATGTTTCACTCATATTGTTACATATACTAATATGTATATACTAGGTGCGCCTGGTGATTGCCAAGCTGAAGAAGGCCATGGCTACAGGCATGGCAGTGTACATGAGCGAGACGATGAACACGTTCGCCAACGACATCATGTGCTGCGTGCTGTCGGGCAAGTTCTTCAGGGAAGACGGCCGGAACAAGACCTTCCGGGAGCTGATTGAGATGAATGTTGCCCTGTATGCAGGGTTTAGCCTAGAAAACTATTTCCCAGGGCTTGTGAATTCGCTAGGTATCTTCACCGGGTTGGTGAGCAGAAAGGCGGACGAGACGCATGAAAGATGGGACGACGTGCTTGAAAATATCATAAGCGACCATGAGAGGCGAGCTGAGCAAGAAGAGAGTGCAGACTTCGTTGACCAGATGCTCTGTGTTCAACAAGAGTACGGTATCACCAGAGATCATATCAAGGCCATCTTGATGGTGAGTAACTATTAGGTACCAATATCAACTTTTTCTTTAGAGATAAAAAATAGATCTATCGTAGATTGTGTCATTTTCGATTGACGTACTTATCCTAAATTACCCACACCCAGGACCTGTTTGATGCGGGCACGGGCACATCATACTTGACTCTTGAACTTTGCCATGGCTGAGCTCATGCGCCACCCTCATATCATGACCAAGCTACAAGCTGAGGTCAGGAACAAGACACCAAATGGACAGGAAATGGTCAGGGAAGAGGACCTATCTAGCATGGCCTATCTGAGAGCTGTCGTGAAGGAGACGCTAAGGTTACACCCACCTGCTCCACTGCTCTTGCCTTACCAATCTATGGTGGACTGTGACATCGATGGGTATACAATCCCCTCTCGAACTCGAGTCATCATCAACGCTTGGGCTGTCTGTAGACATGTAGAGTCGTGGGAGAAAGCAGAGGAGCTCATGCCGGAGAGGTTCATGGATGGTGGTAGGGCTGCAGCCGTCGACTTCAAGGGGAATGACTTCCAGTTCATACCGTTTGGAGCTGGTCGAAGGATGTGCCCTGGCATCAACTTTGGGTTGGCCACTGTTGAGATCATGCTGGCAAACCTCATGTACTGTTTTGATTGGGGGCTGCCGGCTGGTATGGACAAGGAGGATATTGATATGACAGAGGTTTTTGGATTGACGGTTCACCGAAAGGAGAAGCTCATGCTCGTTCCGAAACTACCTGGAAGCGCTTGCTGCGCATAATCTGAGGCAGGATGCTCTGTAAAAGATATGCATGATTTTTGAAGTGTACGGCCTGCACGTGAATTTGTGTACCTGTTGTATGTATTTTGCGGGGTTACCTAGTTGTATGCATAGTCAAGAAAAAAAGTTGTATGCACATATGTATTGCACGCATGTCCCTTCAAATATATATGAAGCCACAATATGGATTGTTCAAAGTTGTGAACAATATAGTTTTACATAAAGGAAGCTTCTAAGAACATCAAGATGCATCAAGATCATAAAACCGTTCTAAAAGTTCTGGTCTCTCCAGAACTAAGATGATGTCTACAGCTTTAGCATAAAGGTAACACACCAAAAATAAAAAAGTCAAACAGGTAGTGCTAAGAAAGCTAATGCCGGCAAGGCAACCGGTTCCTTACTCCATGTCATACACAACCTATGTGATGTCCAGAAACATCCAACTCTTCATATCACACAAAGCCCATATGATGATTCAGAGACATTCATGGTCTCTCCTCCCTAGTACAGAAGTATCTTCCATTAACACCTCATTTTTTTTTCACTGGCCACAGAATGAAAGCAGGTGCTACTACCGAGCAGTGTTTGTGGGCATAATTTCATGTTTGTCTCTTCGTTCATTTTCTAACACAATAGGGATAATAGATATATACTACGTAGTAACTATGCAGTTTTAGTAAAACTTATCAATTACAGACCTACATGTTTTATGACTCATATACATAGATTTTTCCATTGCATATCACATCTGTGTATCATTAATATGCATTACTTGACTCCTTAATTAAAACTGTGGTGGCTCTTGTTGCGGCCCCATGGCTTATGTTGTAATTGATTTTCATAATTTAATCTTGTTGATTGGTATATATTTTTTAATCCTTAAATTAATTTGAAATTCTTGTGCATCTGTCATGAATATTTACTGATTTAGAGGATTCTATTAGCAACCTATTTACTGATAAAGTATGCTGACCCTAGAACCATGATCAATATTACATATAAATAAGTAAAATAATGGGAAGTAAAAAATTCTGAAACATAAACCAACATAAACATAGCCATATTAATACAAGTATGCGAGGATCTTGGTCGATCTTAACCATAAGCATGACTGATATATCAGTTTTTAAACACACTGCAGATATTGCACACTTCACCAACAATTGACAAGGAAATAGTTTGCATCAGAAGTTAAGCCAAAGAATAAAAATGAAGTAAACCAGGGACGACAAGTGGACATACTAAAAAGGATTCGGGGACTAATAACCATATACTAGTAAATATAAAAGACGAAGTTGTGTTGGCATAGCTAAATGTGTTGGAGTTTGCATGGTTGCTGTAGTATGCTTGTTAGCCCAACTGCTGTGCTCTGTAGCTAGCTGTTGGGACAAAGGCACGTACAATGACTTGGTTGTCACGTGGCGGACCCAGTTTTTTTTTTCTTTTTTTTTTGCTAAGTGAAAAAAAAAACTGCGTCCCACTCACATTCCCATGCCGCAAGTGGATGCATGCCGTAGTGGTGGCAACAGCAATAGCAAGCATGCCTGCATGCAGCGGCAGGTGGCTCAGGCTTGGGGAGGCCCAGGAGCTACGGCCGGAAGAGGGGCGTCGCTGGAGCTACGGCGGCAAGCATGTGGTGCTCGCCCGCCGGGAAAAGGACACGATCTCATTGGGAAAGGCATCACAAGACGGCTCATCGAGCATGTTCTCCGTACGTGGAACGAGCTCATCCTGAACCAAGGCCCGATGCCGCCCGTGTGGCGCTTTCTAGCTGAGCTTGTCGTGTCGATCAGCACGTATAGGCGGAGCCACCACTAGGGCATTCTAGGGCGGCCACCCTAGGTTCCTCTGGCCGGGCACCCATTCACACCCCACAAAGCTATCAACCGGTTAAACTCAGTAGCACCTCATCTTTTCCTCTCAATCTCCATGCACTACTAAAAAGGATTTGTAGCAACGTCTACTTTTTTTTTAGGTGCGACTCTATATTGAGCCGTCTCAATAAATGGTGTCCAATTGAGCCGTCCCTACATATAGACGCTAAATAGTAAAAATTAATCACTAAAATTTAAATTTTTTCAAAAGACATCGATGAAGAAATAATCAAAATAAAAGTTATATATTTCAAAAAGTTATAAAACTTTGTTGTTTATAATTTTTTTATTTGAAATCATTTGCTACTCGACGGTCGCCTGAGCTCAGCGCCTCGGCAACAATGGGTGACTAGCGGCGCCTTCGTTTTTGTGCATGTGGGTGATTGGATAAGAATGAATTGAGGAGGCATGGGCTGGCGTGGACTGTGTTTGGCATTGGGCTGTGTATAGTCAGTTTGAGACTAAAGGCCGATTGGCCACTACCATGTTTCTAACTAGGGCCCCAAAGACGGGCTCAGCAGGCCGGCGGGAGCCCAGAACCGAGCCTCGGCCAGACGCCGCCACTACCCTCGATCTCCCGACATCCAAAGAGATCCTAAATAAAATAGAAAAGTCCGAAAAAAGTAGGAAAATAAATAGAGTATTTCTTAGATAAAATTTTGTTAGAAAGGTTAAATAGTTACTTGTTAGGAAAGCAGGCCGAATCTATAAGGGCTCTGTCCGTAAAATTGGATTGATTAAGTACCAAGTCTCCTAGACTATAAATAAATGGGCCATGTAAACATTTAATCTTAAACAAGAGAAATAATATATTCTTCTGTCCATTTTCTCTCTGCCGCCACCCCCTCCCTCTCCGTTTCCCTGAGCCTGCGCCCCTCTGCCCTTGCACGCTGCCGCCGCTAGAGCACGCCGCCCCTAGGCCGTCGCCAAGGATCTCCAGGAGGAAACCAACTATGCAAAGGAGACAACTAGGCGTGCTTTCATCCAAGAGCAGATGGAACGCTCCAAATTATCAAAAATTCCTAAGATCTTGGAGCAGGTGACGAACAATCTGTTCGCTGCCAAGCCCGAGCTGGAGGAACAACTTACAGCAACGCTACCTCTACTGCTCTCCCCGCCGACAGCAGATCCAATTCAGCCAGAAATCCAAACACCAGACGCACTGATCACGCCCAAAGTTCAGATACCGTCAGGAGAAAGTGACGCCTGCCAGATTGTCAACGACGGGTACACATCAGGCAGCAAATCCGGGGCGCCCACCACCGACGCCACTAAACTCATGGATAGCATACAGCACCACAACGGCAACTCCGACACTTGCCTGAACAATTTGGTACATGGAGGATCTGAGACGGATACCGACGTCAACACGACAGCCAAGGCAAAACAGAAACGAGAGATTGCTGCCAAGAAATTCATGACCATGAAAAAGGCAGAGCATACTTTGCCCCAGGACAAAATTTTGGGAAAATCCTAAAATCAAGGGAAAGGTGACGAACGATCTGTTCGTCACAAAACCAGAGGAGGTAACACCTATGACAATGTTACGACCTCACCACCCGATAACAGATCTGAAGAAGACTTTAGTCAGAATCACCTGACAAGGAGCAGCAGGACAACAGAAATCCTGATTGGCCTAGCACAAGAGCAGCAGGAGACGCCCCACAAGGATAGATCTACAGGCGCTCAAACTGACAACGTGCTGAATGCAACCATACTCGTCGGCAACACCATCTGCAAGACAATAACATCTGGACTCCAGCCATCAACATACAATGACAAAAAGAGGGCAGAAAAAGTTCCGCCATGCAAAAAACTACAGATTTTGGCCCTTTCAATGGATGTGTACCACACAGATGTCACACACGGCACTCCATGGTTGGACCAACTTGAGCCGAACCACATAGGAACTTCGATGCAAAGGAGATCTGCGTCAAAAAGAGTAGTTACACAGCCTTCAATATCGGAACAGCACTGGCGTAACGACAAGCAACGCCTTCAGCACATGGCAACTACACTTTACCAGCTCCGAAACAACCTAGATACCCAGCTACAATATACCCCCACATACATAGATATTACTAATGGGTGAAGGCGAACCCTGTTATCAACATCCATGGAACACCGGCGGTTCACCGGAGGGAATCAGCCCCAACATCAGACAACACCGACCCCCATAGCTACATCGACTCTCTACAATATCTCGCAGCTATGGCGCTGCAATGACTCGTCATGCAACAAGAAGAAATACAGGTGGGAGCCATGGTGCCACATCAGCAGCTACGAGTGCCTCCATCGGACAGCATCATTGCTAACACCAGCATAGGCGGCACCGTGGAACTAGCTTGGTCACTTTACCAAGGAATCATCAACAACTTCAACAGGTAC